TCTCAGGGCACATTGTTAACACCACCTGTCTGGTTTAAGCCAACCAGCACCCCCACTCGGTTCCACTATTCTTCTGAAGCTGAACTCTGGCCATCTCTGCACTAACATAGAAACTGAGTCTATTTTTACCCTTTTATCACGTGAGCTGTACCTACATACATTTGGATATTCAAACATCTTGTGATATTTCCATTCTCGCCCATATCAGGATTGAATCTCAATACTACAAACTAGCTTGTTTTTAAGGGTTAAAGCATGTGATGTCTGCGTCACAGTGTCTGCGTCACAGTGTCTGGTCTGCGTCACAGTGTCTGCGTCAGTGTCTGGTCTGCGTCACAGTGTCTGCGTCAGTGTCTGGTCTGCGTCACAGTGTCTGGTCTGCGTCACAGTGTCTGCATCACAGTGTCTGCATCACAGTGTTTGCATCACAGTGTCTGCATCATGCGTCACAGTGTCTGCATCATGCGTCACAGTGTCTGCGTCACAGTGTCTGCGTCACAGTGTCTGCATCACAGTGTCTGCATCAAGCGTCACAGTGTCTGCATCATGCGTCACAGTGTCTGCGTCACAGTGTCTGCGTCACAGTGTCTGCATCACAGTGTCTGCATCAAGCGTCACAGTGTCTGCATCATGCGTCACAGTGTCTGCGTCACAGTGTCTGCGTCACAGTGTCTGCGTCACAGTGTCTGCATCACAGTGTCTGCATCAAGCGTCACAGTGTCTGCATCATGCGTCACAGTGTCTGTGTCACAGTGTCTGCTTCACAGTGTCTGCATCACAGTGTCTGCATCATGCGTCACAGTGTCTGCGTCATGCGTCACAGTGTCTGCCTCACATTGTCTGCCTCACATTGTCTGCGTCAGTGTCTGCATCACAACGCTGCACACTGAGGCGCTCTTCACTAGTCCTATTCAATTGATCATTTCCATATCTAAGATCCATGGAGTTACAGGAATTTCCAAACATGTCAAATGTGCCAGGCAGAATCTTAAGGTAATATGTACAAGCCTTGCACAAGATTAAAGAACATTGGTTTAAAAATGTCCTTCAGTGTAAATATCCGGTAACTTATTGTTTGGATAGTTGTACATAGTGAAACTGGTCTCATTAAAAGCTGTAACCCCTGAGGGCTCCGGCTGGTTGGAAATGGCCACTCACATCCAGGCCTGTAGCTTCCTCTCTGTCAGACATGAGGACGGATTTGTCTCTTCTCTCTCCCTGTAGGATTACCACTAAGTGTTTTGTATTATTCTGCAAGTGGTGAGGTGGCTCAGTCTGTTCCTTTGTTCAACAGATCATTTGTATTTTCCTGAAAGGTACCTGTGTTACTGCTTTCTGTCTCTCCTCTCATAAGTTAAAAAGAAAGGTATTTAATATCCAGCTTGTATGTCACTAATGTCCTCATTGTCCTCTGGACTTCCTGTTATGTTTAACGTGTCCTTATGTAGTTCCTAACAGCTGTAACCTTCCTCAGTCCTGTGTGTGTGAGAATGAGCCTGCTGCCTGCCTGAAGGTGTCTTCCTTAGCTTCCTCCAGATGTGAGGACACATGAAGTCCTCCATGTGGCTCCGATGATCCCGCCTCTTAGATAGCTGTTCTGTAATCATTTTTAATCCTCAATTTTGCAGAATAATTTAGCTTGCCTCTTGGATCTGATGTTTGTTCTACAACAATGATCGGCTGTAAGGTGGGACTGACAGATCAGATCATTATTGTCCCCTCAGTGCAGTCCTTCCAGTCACCCACTCACAACGTATGTTAGCATGGAGCAACAAGGTCACATGGCTAACCAGGGTGTGTGTTTTCACAAATCTAAGAGATGAAGCTGACCGCCAACAGCTCAGTGAATTCCTCAAACTGCCAGTGTGCATCTGGATGAAGCAGTGTTTGTCTTTGAGACGCACACTGTCCTGCTGCTCAGACAGCCTGCAACCCGCCAGAGGACATGGAAAGACTTGAGGTCAGCAGAGCAGACCCTGACCCCCACACAGCCTCCCCTCTCAGAACACAACACACTGTTTGTCTCACAGGGCGGTGCATAACACTGTCAGCTCTATAATGGAGCTAAACCATCATCAGCATAGAGCGCTACAGGAATGAGTCCTAAAACCTAGGAATGAGTTAGCATATTAACACTTTCAAGTTGCTAAATGAGATAACTAAACGTCATTACGCCAAACATTAGACGCCTTTAGCTTAGCGGTGGTGACATTAAGTCATGTTACCTTGCTGTAGTTCCTTATAGCCTAACGTTAGCTTTTTACTTTAAAATAAAATCATATAGTGTTGTTAATATGTGGAGATGATCCTGCTTAACGAAACGTGGAACTGTCATAGACGTGTGTTTACCAAAGACAAAAATCCAATAGACAGAGCATTCCCATTCTGAACCGTGCATCTTACACAACTATTATATATATATTTATTGGTGGCTCTGCTGTCCCTGACTGTAAAGGTTTAGTACGCTTCAGACAAAAAAACATAGGCTACGTGAGTCGTACTCTTCTGCGTGTCTTTGCAGACGTACGCTGCTGAATAATAGTAAAAAAAATTACATTTTAGGTCTCAACTAAATTATAATAATCCCATGCAGCTACACTAAGCCACAGATGTTTTTTTAAAGAAGCATTAAAATACATAGAGAATTAATACAGTGCCAAACTCAAGGATGTACTCTTCCAGTAATGATCTGTCCAGAACACACTTGCACCTCTTAAGGATTATTTCCATGTATCCATGGTGCAGTTAAACAGTGGTGGTGGATGTAAATGATTCAGAAAATAAGATCTGTGGCAGACACACCTTTATGACACTTATACATGACTGCGCATCACCACCGCTAAGCTAAAGGCAGCTAATGTTCGGCGACATGTCTTTGAGTAGTCTCATTTAAATGGGACGCCATTATCGCCTCTCCTTTGGTAAAGTTGGTCCAGTGTTCCCCAGGTCCTATGAGATAAGACAGGAAGCAGCGGATTGGAGAGACTAAACTCATCATGGCTGACACTTCATACTCATACCTGTTTTCGTTGTGCCATGTGAAGGGGCCTTGAGCTTGCCGTTAGATGATGTGATCAACACTTTGAACAAACTGAGAGACCTGCTCAGTCAGCGCATGTCAGTCTGTCTCCCAGAGCCTTAAGGATTTGACACCAGATCCCAGGGGGCACATAGAGAAGAGTGCTAGATAAACACCATCATGCCGGGAACTGACACTATTCTGATTTAGGCAAGAGGCCTTCTTTGATCATTGCTTCCAAAGCTGCATGTGGAGCAGCGGTCCATACATGAACACAGATTCTCGTCTTTCCAACACTCTGCCTTTGACTTGAGAGGACACTGTCCCCCTCCAGAGTCCACACTATGCAACAGCACTGCTCCACCCGTCACTCTGTGTTATTGTAAAAGTAAAGATGATTTGACTGACTGATGATTCTCTTAAAGCCAGTGTCTTATACACATGTATGTTTAAGGATCTGCCAAATATACTGATTAGTGCCTCCTTCTCCATGCTCTGCCTCTACTGCCGTAACAATCCTTTTAACCAAGGTTTTATACTTCCTGTAATGTTTTAGGTTTTTTTAAATGATGCCACACAGGCAGATAAAGCGTTTCTCCCAGTTTTGATATTTTAAGATAGAAAAGCTTCCCATGTACAGTCTAACTTATGCTGTCTTTCCCTTCTACTCCTAAAACAATCAAACATAAATAAACTATTTTCTTTTTTTTTAAATCATGTCTGTGCTGCCTGATTGGACAAGACCTTTATATTTCATACTATCATGTTTTTCCAAAATATGCTAATAAGTTTTACAGCTGCATAAATATGATTCACCTTTATATCCAGTCTCTGGACTGACATGCTGAGAGCCTAAGACATTTTCTTCAGAGCAAGGCGAAGACAATGACAAATCATACAATTTTAACTTGTGTGTGTGTCAGGCTGAGGGTATACACTCAAATTGAGTCTCACTTTAAAGAACTAGATTAAATATTTTTTGCTTCAATAAAAAATCCATTTGAAACCCCTCGAACCAGTTTGAATGATTTAGTTATTTATCAAGGAGAACATGATGAGGTTCGTGCTGACATGGTGGTCCACTACAGCCAGAGCTCCTAACCTTCAGCATCAGACGGAGCCTGATGGGCGCATAATAGACTGTAAGTATCCCATATAATGTATCAAATGTGGCAACTACACACATGTGCAACTAAATGTATGTATGAGTCTCGGATTATTTATATTTCAAATACCTTTATCCAAATCCATACCTCACCTGAATTTAAAGAAATGTTTGAACAATCACACAGTTGGAAAAATCCCCCACTAAAGCCATATTTTATTTAAAATACATAATGAAAGCAGCACAGCACTTAACAGGCAGGGGTGGCCTTCAATTCAATAAAAAAAAAAGATCATAATATCATTATAAACTGTTTGAATCAAAGTAAAACGCATTAAGAAAAGGTCCTCTGCGCAGACTGCTCACACAGGCAGGACGTGAGTGGGCTTGGTATGGAGACACTAGAAATAATTGTGATTGTGAATTTCTGCATTCCTTAAACCATCCTTGGTGGCTGCCAGTGTTCGTCGTGGTTCTACAGTTTTAGGGGGAAATGCTTTTGGTCTCAGAGGAGGAACTTCTCCTAAAGAGGGGACTTCAAGCTTTTCAGAATGTGAGCGTCTCTGATGTCGTGCTTTTCACATTACAGACTTGTTGTTCTGATCCACAGTCTGTCTGAGTGAACTGTCCTCAGGGTCCACGTCCAAAAAGTCTGGCTGTCCACTGTCCTGCGACATTTTGTCCTCTTCCTGCGTGCACTTATCTTCCTCTCTGTTCGGCCTCTGTCTCTGGCACATGCCGGCCTTGGCGGGGCCGACCATGGCCAGGCAGACGCCGCTGAGAGCCATGCCCACCGCAGAGGAGAGGAAGGCAGCCCCGTAGTTCTGAGTGACGTCCACCAGCACTCCTGCAGGACCAGAGAGGGTTAGGTGGAGCTGCTGGACAACAGATGAAGGCATTCTTGTCTACTGGCATAGGAAAGGATCTATCGCTTGTTTGAAGGCCTTTACACACAGTGTGACGGATAAATGACATGTGAAATACTTACCTGCTAATGCGATATGTCTGTGGCTTTTTTATAATATGTGGAAGAAAGGAGTGGACCTGGTATACGCTGCTGGTACAGTTGCACAGTGCGCCGTCTTCATTAAGACTGCAGAGCCTTGCTGTTGTTATTTTTGAAAATTAATATATAATATAAATATAGATGCAACTCACCTGTACCAACAACGTTTTGTGTTAAAGCCTTTATTTGCGATTGTTAAGATAACTAATTATTTCCTTTTTTAAAAAAACTCGCTTTTCAGCTGCCTAATATTAATGCTCTGTGTAAAAGTAATCATGAGGATAAAATCACTTTGAGGTTTATATTGACGTGAAAATGGACTGCTCCAAAATTGCCCTGGATGCGTAAGGCCGTGAGGGGGTTTCCCTGTGCTACGAACGCCTCCATGTGTGTGATGATAATGAAGGTGGACAGGGTAAGAGAGAAGAAGAGGAGTAGAGGATCTTTACCTCCTAGTGGCGGCCCTGCCAGCCCAGCAAAGCTTTGGATGAAGAGGTACACCCCCACAGAGGACGCCATCTTCTCGATACCAACAACTTCCTCCTCAGCCAGCATGGGGATGTGAATGGAGCCGACGGTGCCCACGAAGTAGCCGTAGAGGGCGCAGCACACCACCAGACCCCAGAACTCCCAGACCACAGCGAAGGCCAGCAGCACCAGGCTCAGCAGCAGCACGCAGCCCAGCAGCAGCAGCGTCTTCCTGCAGCGCACCCTGCTCAGCAGCACCCCAATGGACAGCCGGCCCAGGATCTCAGCCACAGCCATCACAGAGAGCATGTAGGACGCCAGGCCGGGCTCCACCCCCCGGCTCTTGCTCAGCTCGATGACGTAGAGCTGCGGGGCGAAGAAGCCCAGCGTGGCGAACATCCCAAAGAGGGAGTACCAGATGAAGGTCGTGTCTCTGAGCACAGAGAAGTCCAGGAGTCTAGGGCTGGGGCTGGGACGCTGTAGAGGACCCGCCTCCAGCTTTGCCAGCACCCCCTCATCCTTCTCCTTCACTTGGATGGTTGGTGTGGACATTGAAGACTCTTTGTCCTCATTGTCCTTCACCTCCCACTCCACCAGAGCCTGCCTCTCAGCTCCTGCAGTCCTCAGGTCTGAGCTGGAGGTGAAGAGGGAGTTGACCCCGGAGTCCTCTGAACCCTGGGACCCCCCTGAACTGATGGAGGTCCTGGTCTGCTCATTCTCCAGCGTATAAACAGTCTGCTGCTCTTTGTCTGACTCATGGTGCTCCTCTACAGGCTCCGGGTCAATAATGATTGGACGAAGGAGAAGCCCACAGCCAATCACACAAGCCTGAAAGGTTCCCAGGACAACCAGACAGTAGCGCCAGCCAATGTGTTCCTTCAGTGTGGTCAGAGCTGTGGACAGAGGGAGGCTTTATTGTTACCAGATCATCTCCTCTCTGTGTTTCCTCACTAAATGAAGTCCCCCAAACTGCTGAGCTGCTCACACCCAACACTTCCGGCCGTTTCTGTCTCACAAGCCACCCTCTCTTTCCCTTCCATTCATCCGTTCCCCTTCCTACACCATCTTTACCCACACCCCTACATCCCTTTTCCCTCCTCCTTTCCTGTCTCCACTATCTCTTTCTATTTAACCTGTCGCATATTTTTTGCCTCTTTCTAGGTACCGTCTTGGCGGCTTGTATTCAGGGCATGCAGAGCACCTGAACCGCCATCCAATGTTACAGTTAGTAATTGGATCCCATTGATATCAGTCTGACTGTTCACTCATACACTCCTCAGAGCTGGATTCATTTACTGCTGATACTAACCCATCTCCTACTGCTGCTGCTTCACAAAAATGACTTGCGAAACACGGTGTGGCTTTGTGAAGCACTCAACGAGTCTCACAAAGGTTATTTATAACAACAAAAAAAGGAGTGTAGACACGTTTCCCTTTGAGGTGAATAGGGCCTCTTGCTAACAGTGTACTGAAGTAAATAACCTCTGCATTGCTGTGGCAAGTTGTCCTCCACTGGATTTCCAAATATAGCTGTACATAGGAACAAAGAGAACTGGATACTGTATTGGCAGCAGGGCCCCGTTCATTTCTATGAAAATGCTCAGTTGCGCATGAAGCCAAAATGGCCTGACTGTAGACACAAAAGTACCTCAGTAATCTGGGGATCTGAACCCATAGAATCTATTCATCACCTCAGGTCTCAGCTCAGTCAGATGAATGGAGAGGCTTTAAACTCATTGTATAACATGATCTAAATAATGACCATAAAAGTGTTTGTACTGGGAAGTTTATTTGGCTCAAAATAAATGATGTGCTGATTTATAGAGACTACCCTGTCCAAATGTAAATCAATAGAAATAAGTCTTTTTGGGCCCATGACGTCACGGACTTACATGTAAGTTGTAGTACCGCCATTTGGCCACTATCCACTCACTTCCTGCTACTATCTACAAGAATATGGAAAACATTTAGCTAAGTTTTCAGTATTTCTCCAAGTCCCTCCCGGATGACTGAACTTCTCACCTTATCCCTAAGGGAGATGCCAGCCACCCTGCGGAGAAAACCCATCTTGGCCGCTTGTATCCACGATCTTGTTCGGTAGACAGAGAGCTTTGCCTTCTGGCTCAGCTCTCTTCGTTACAGCGGTGCGGTAAAGCGACTGCAGTACCGCTCCTGCTGCTCCGATTCTCTGGCCCATCTCACGCTCCATTGTCCCCTCACTCTAGAACAGGCAAACTAAGGCCCGCGGGCATATACGGCCCGTGGGGTTTTTAATCCGGCCCGCCGAATATTGGTAAAAAATTGTCCAAATTATAGTAAAGACCGCATTCATTTTGCCTTTTTCCTGCAATCCCCGGCATTTCAGTTGATCCCACTAGATGGCGCACTCTAGACACAATTTACCTTTGCTGGATTCTGGTCTATTCTCTCTTAGCTGGCCCCACTCGGCAACCCGGCAAGATCTAAGAACCAAATACCTCATGCTTACATTGGAGGGGGGTCGAGATTAATCGGCGCAATAACAGTTCATGGCGACAAGCAGTAGCGCTGAGCAAAGTGACTAGAATGCAACTACACACTTGTATAAAATCAGGCAACACTAACCAGGCTTAATGTGATTCTGTTTATTTTACCTTACTTTAATGCGTCCGTTCACTGTTATTGACCATTTTAAAAGAGGCAGACGTTTTCCTGTTTTTTTGTATTATTGCAGCTATCGGATGGAAATTTTGTCAAGGAGTTTTATGAAATTGTTTCGTTAATTACCGCTCAAACAAAGCGTTGTTTCGTGATAGTTGGATGAAATGCAGACGGCTCCCGCGCAGATTCATATATTATTCATATCTATAGACTTTCGCTGCAACTTTTGATACAAAGTTTTTACTACTGCCGGTAACAGGCCAAACGCCAGTAAAATAGGAGTTTCAAATAAGAGAAAGTCAACAGAAGAGTTCAAAGAAGTGACAGGCAGTATGAGAGGTAGAGAAGAGACTCACACTAACACACTCTTTAATGAGGCGGACAGGCAAGCGTTCTCTTGGGAGGCCGGTGTGTTTACCGGTGTGTTTATCTGGGACTTTGTACAGCTAACTTCGTGGACAGACTTATAACTGCTGCTGCTCCCGTTTACTTCCAGAAACTACGCTCGCTCTCTCTCTCTCTCTCGCTCTACACATGCACACGCCACACACATATCGATAAAACTTCAGGGAGCTATTTTGTTTATGTATTAATGCTGCTGGGAGCTCACTGCATTTGTATTTGAAAAGATTCATTTAATCTAATAAATCATTTTTAAAAGTCCTCTTTTAATAATTAAACATAATAAAGGCATTTAAACAAAGTTTTGTGTTGGAGTTTGTGTTTTTTTTTATTTAGACACCACGGTTTTCATTATTACTGCACATATATATATATCGGTCTCCTTGATTACTTAAAAGTTGGTATCCGTATCGGCCCTGAAAAATCCATGCAATCCTTAGCCCACCGAACTGCATCCCCATCCCCCACGACCACGTCTTGAAATCCTGCCCATGAATATCACAAACAGGATTGGTGACTGGCGGAGGCCAACCCTCACCGGAAACGAGTCCGACTAACTGCCAGGCCCGGACACAGCTCTCGCTTTGGGAGAACAAAGATTCGGTGGCCCTGAGTAGAGACCCCCTCACCCTATACTCTCCCACACCACAGTATCTCCCTGGGATCCCGGTCATCAACCTTCTCCAAATAGACAATACACATATACCAAAACAAATTCCTGGTATGTGTAAACCTACTTGCTAATAAACCTATTCTGATCCCGTGGTGTAATCTTTTTTTAGCAGGCAAGTTAGTGTGACTAACATTTCTCACTCTTATGAAAGCACTCCTGGCATCAAAATGTAAGACTTCTGATGAAATTGTTTTCATGTCAATCAACCATTCCAGCTTTTAAACTCTGTATTCTTATTATTCTGAAAGGTAGTTCCACTTCATAATGGGCAGCAATAAGGAATGAATGAATGACGAATGTCTTATTTTCTCCCCCTAAAACCGAACACCCACCTGGAGCAAAGGCGAATATAGCGAAAGGTTCTCCGGAGGAAGCGACAGAGGTGACGAGGGCTCGCCGTGTGGAGAAGTACTGGGCGAGGATGGTGACGGTTGGGAGGAAGGTGAAGCAGTAGCCGAGGCCTGCAAACAAACGAGAAGAGGAGAAGGGGACATAACATCCACTGGCCCAAATGGAAGGAACACTGCATGGCTGAGTCAAAGATCAAGGAGTCAGGTCCATCCTTTGTCAAAGGTGGCCGGCTGCGTGAGATGATTCAGCTTTGCTACCGCTACTTCTGCAAGACAAAAGGCATGTAAAGACAAAAAAAGGGAGAGAGGGGAAAGGTTTTTAAGTTAGCTGCGGTCCATTTCAGAGGCAATTTATTCCACCTATTTCATTATCATCCAATCCAATTTCATTCAACTTATTAATTCACTCCTCTTCAGCCCCTTGCTGTTCCGACAATTGTGATCTGAAAGGGAATTTTATGCTTTCCGCTGCGGTGTGAACAGGAAAAAACTGTGCTTTTCAGTCTCTAGCTCCGAACCGACCCTGGAACCGCGTTGGTGTGAAAGTCCCATCAGTCATGGACAGTTATGGAAGAAACAGATGTGGTTGTTAACACTGCTAGGAGCCCTTTCAGTTCATGTATGACCAGTGGTGGACTTATTACCTCCTACCTTAGTATAAAGTAGCAGGAAACTGAAATACTAAAGCAAAGTACCTCAAATTGTATGAGCATAACAGTCATATTGCAAGGATACACAAAGCCAGAAACACACATAAACGGATGGATGGACGGATGGATAGATGATGGATGATAGATATCATACACTGAACAAAAATATAAATGCAACACTTTTGTTTTTGCTCCCTTTTTTCATGAGATGAACTCAAAGATCTAAAACATTTTCTATATACACAAAATAACCATTTCTCTCATATTGTTCACAAATCTGAAAAAATCTGTGATAGTGAGCACTTCTCCTTTGCCGAGATAATCCATCCCACCTCACAGGTGTGGCATATCAAGATGCTGATTAGACAGCATGATTATTGCACAGTTGTGCCTTAGGCTGGCCACAATAAAAGGCCACTCTGAAATGTGCAGTTTTGCTTTATTTGGGGGGTCTGGGGGGGTCCGAAAACCCTAGGGTTAAACCCTAACCCTAACCCTAACATGTCACCCATTGAGCATGTTTGGGATGCTCTGGATCGGCATATACGACAGCGTGTTCCAGTTCCTGCCAATATCCAGCAACTTCGCACAGCCTCAGGGTTTGGGGGGGTCCGAAAACCAGTCAGTATCTGGTGTGACCACCATTTACCTCACGCAACACATCTCCATCGCATAGAGTTGATCAGGTTGTTGATTGTGGCCTGTGGAATGTTGGTCCACTCCTCTTCAATGGCTGTGCGTAGTTGCTGGATATTGGCAAGAACTGGAACACACTGTCGTATACGTCGATCCAGAGCATCCCAAACATGTTCAAACAGTGTTCAGTTTTTGTTTAGGTGCACGTTCACATGAACGGGGTGGCATTTGGATCATTCAACCAATCACAAAAATGGAGAAGCATACTGACAGCACAGCGCGTCATACTTCCTGAATGAAAATAATATAGTATAATATTAGACATATGAAGAAGTTAAACTTTAAACATCCATGACTTAAACACTTTAACCAGGATAAAAGCCACATAGTTGCACCTGTAAGGTTTATAGAGCTTGTAAAAGAAAAAGTGTTTGAATGTATTAGGGGTCGACCTGGCCGATTATCGAGGCCAATATTCCGCATCTGACCGATTATCAGTATCAGCCATTTTTTAAATCAAATTGTCGATAAAACTTTGGCTCTGATGCGGCCATTTCTCTGGCTGCAGTCACCACTCTCTGTACACGAGCAATGTCCCGCCCACAGCACTATCTGATAGGCTATTACTGAAGTGTCAATCAACACTGAAGATTTTCCGGGCGGGAGCCAGCCAGAGAGGCGGGACCTTCTCAGATTACAGGCAGGTGCGAAAGAAGGCAGAGAGTCACAGACTGAAGCAAGCAGCAGCGCTGAGCGGCAGAGTACTCAAGTTGAGGGGGGATGGGGGGGATGGCATCCCCCCTGAAATAAAAACGGTCAAAATCATCCCCCTTCTAAAACTGCCATCCCCCCTTTCCATCCCCTTATGTCATTTTATCAATGAACGTGGCACTGGTATTACTGCTATTTCAACATTAATTTTGCGCATATTGAGTAAAATACTGTGGGCGAGGGAGCACGCACACATGCAATGACATTTTTACCAAGTCACTGACGCTATGCTATGCGAGTGCCCTAGAGGGCGCCAGAGCGCCGTGATGCGCCTGTTTGATTGATGCCAGAAGCTGCATAGCAGCACTAGCGCAGCAGGTAACGGTCATCGCAATGGCCAAGCAAC